CGATCATCACCAAATCTCTCCCTCAGTCACTTTCACTCTCTCTCGCTCCCTCTCTCTCTCTCTCTCTCTCTCTCTCTCTCTCTTTCTCTCTCTCTTTCTCTAATCGTTATCAAAAACAACATGTTTTAACTGTTCATTGCTATATTTGGTAATATATTGTAATGCTACTTAACGTACTATATGTTATAAGTTAATATATATGCTTATAGCTACACACATACCTAGAATAAAAATAATTCCTATTTTTTTATACACTCTTACCTATAAATGTTTACACTGACTATGTATGAGAAGTTTTTTATTTTCTATATATATATATATATAGTATATAGTATATAGTACATATATATATATATATATATATATAGTATATAGTATATAGTATATAGTACATATATGTATATATTATACAGTATATATATATATATATATATCAATAAACGCTATTAGTTCTCTCTTTGATTTTCTTAAATGATTTTTTTGAATAATTGACATAAAAATGAAAAAAACAAACAAATAAATGTTTAAAAAAAAAAACACGTTTTCAAAATGTCTGATAGCGGGACCATCTTTTAAGGTTTATCATTGCTCTCAAAAAACTGTTTGGCAACTTCCCTACATTGTTATAGTTAAAATAAAACTTCTTTTTCTCTTTCCCATATTTCTCTCTCTATCTTTCTCTCTCTATGGATGTTTAAAAATGATATATGAACTTTTTTCGTAAAAAGTAATTTCGCCATTTTTTATAATCTTTAGATTTGTGCTTTAAAAAGGGCAGAAGAGAGCAATGGTAAATTTACTTAGCAGTAAGGTTACCATATTATCAGCTGAAATTGGGATCATAGCTTTATTAAGGTAGTCAAAATATTATGAGATACTTAAAAAGGAAAAATACATTTAATGGCATTGCACTAAATATTTATATAAATGTATAAAAAAATAACTAAAATTAAAACTTTTATGTAAATGCACTCGATTTGGACACAAAAATATATAAAACAATAATTGCTCTAAACAAGAGCATAAACAGAAAAAAAAGCATACATATACAACAGCTCTATTTACGAATAAAATTTTATGTAATTAAATGAAAAAAATAAATAAATAAAAAATAACATCATCACTAATAAAACATAGTAATAATATGTAATAACACAAAATCTGCTTTTCTCTAACAAAAGGCAGGGACTTTTTCTCGCACACACACCCACATCCATTCAAGTACAAAACTGTAGATCATTTCATTAAACAAGCCTGACTTATTATTATTATTATTATTATTACCTTTTAACAGAACTCTATACAATTTTTGAAAGGAATGTAGCAGAAAAAATCGTATTAACTAACATGAGTGGGAAGATTTTCAAATTAGAAAAGAACTTATGTTATCTTAACAGAAATTTAGGATTGAGAACCTTTCGAGTCTTTCAAGTTGAACTTCAAGATATGATTTTCTCGTTCTTAATTCGTCTCCGATTTATATAGAGACAAAAATAGGACGGCGAGCGCCAGCCCTCGGGTAAAGCAAATGGAATCATAAGCTTTCATGTTTAGCTTCTAAAAACAAACAGAAAATCGCAAATTGATTGATAATTTTTTTCTTACCAGCAATTCTATCTTTCAATCAAACATTTTTGCTGCCGATAATTACAAGCGTAATGTACGTATGAAGCAAAAAGAATAATGTGTAAAGTCTGCGGGAAATGTTGTATAAGAAAAGCACCACTAAGCTCTCAAAATTTTTACACGACTGTTATTATTGCATTACTATGCAGTGAAAGCTTGAAAGTCTATAATTCTGTAGAATTTACATTTTTGTAGAAAAAAGAAGAAAGCGTATGTTCTCACGTACACATTTGATCCTCTTTTTCTTACTCCAACCAAACCCTGTGCCTCTAAGACTGTGAACATAAAAAAGGTTCGTTTCAAACAGAAATAAAATAAATTAAAATTGTTTTTGTTATTATCCAACTATATGACAGCAGGTCTCTCTCTCTCTCTCTCATTCGGTCTGTTTTGGTCAATGCTAGTGTAAGAGTATTTTTTTATTGTAATAGCAGCTTCACACAAAAAAGAAGGAGAAAACATTGTTGCAATATTTATATTTGTTAAATTCGAAGCGAAAAAGCAAACTACAAAATGAATAATTTAATAGAGATATATTAGAGAATTTTACTTCAATTTATGTATAAATGTTGAAAAAGTAAGAAAATCATTAAATTTAAAAAAAAGCACTCTAAAATTAATTCAAAAAACTTCACCTATTTAGCAGAAAGAAGAAAAAAAACAAGAAGAAAACTATTTATTATTCAAGCATTGAAAAGAAAGCAATCATTTAAAATTAGTCAAGTACTAAGAGTAAATATTATTTATATATATATATATATACCTATATATAAATACAATTAATTATGTATTAAGTAAGTAGTATGAAAGTAGCCTACTCTTTCACCTCACCGTCACTTACCCACATTTGAAAATTACAATAATTGAAAATAAAACCAAAATATAGTGAATGCATCGTTTCTCCTACATTATAAATGATTAAAAAAAAAAAAAAAACAATTTTTTTTCGCCAACAACTCGAAACTTTAATTCAGTATTTATATTTAAAAAAAAATAAAAAAAAACAAAATTTAACATATAAAAATGATATAAGAAAAAATATATTGATATTTATGCATACATTATACTTCTTATTACAAAAACAAAATGCGTTACCAACACATACAAACTAAATTTAACAATGAAAAAACAAAAATTTATTATATAAATTTCATTTATTTATTTAAGGAACTACCACATAATAATTTTTAAGTTATAAAACAATGGTCATGAAAGTAATAATAAATAAAAATTCAGTAAAAATGCAATCATTTTTTGATTTGAATTGCGATTTTTTATCGTTCAATGGCGCAATTTCTGCGGTTATTTTCTATTCTAGAGTTGCCATCCTCCTTTTGCACGTGTAGAAAGGAAGGATTGTTACAAAATAAAAATTTGTATTTTCGATTTTAATCCATTCCAAAGAAAGTTTCTGCAACGCATAAATCAAATTCACTCTCTGGGTTGTATATCCCTTCTTTGCCTCCTGCAACTTATAAATTAACAAATACACGTCTTCCACAACTTGTAGCACAAAAAAAAAAAAAACAGGAAAAACGGTTTTAAGTATCTGGAATAGAATACAAATCCGTTTTGATATGTTCTCAAAATTTGAAGTCGGCATAAGCTGAGGCACACTCGAAACTTGAGATATTCGGCTTGTGATCATGTAACCAAGCGACTGTCGCTGTGATTGCGGATTTTTGTTTTTTTTTGGTAGACAACTGATTATCACGTGCCATTATTGCCAGCTTTACAATAATTCTCCTGAAATTTTCCATTGTAACACATTACTATGTGATGTCATCTCCATCATAGTAATAAATTTTTTCTTCCTTTACCGAAAAAACTCTTTTATTCTATTTCTATTTAATTTTTTTTAAAACTCGTGCGAGTTAAAATTTTAAAAATTATTTACAAGTTTACTGCTTCAATTGAGGGCCCTCCACACGAGCATCAAAACCATTATTTTCGTAGGTCGTCTAGAGTGCTGACGAATTCCACATACAGTATCCCCTTTATAGTAGACGCAGAAGTTGCCCAGCGCCGCACAAACATTTGCGATTCTTCCCAGTTTTCTTGGGCTATGACAGATCTTTCGCTCTTTCTGTAGAATACGCCAGCGACTTTGAAAAATGTTCAAAAACTGTAGTTCGATTTTCGAAATACTAAAGACTGTTATACTAACCTTTATACACACGAATGCATATTTCCACAAGGTTCATCGCCTTGCAATAGATTTCGTTATTTTTTTTTGAATATTCAACGAACTTCGACAAGGTGTCTATTAGATATTCACCATCATTTGAAAAAAAATTAGAAACACGTAGTTTTTAATGCGCTTTCATTCTTTCTCCAATAGTTTTCTAGATAAGCTCTTTCACCGGACTGCTTCCACAGACACGCGAAACACGTGAAGGTGCGGGAAATTTGAAATTGACCACCATGGTTTTTGTTTCATGGTCTAGGAAGATAGGTGGAATTTTTGCATAAATCTACATACAACAATGTAACATATATTTAAAAGTCGTTTGTAAATATTAAAAACAATTTACTTACTCCTTTTGAGATAGTGCTAGGAGGTCAGAAATATCCCGGAAAATCTTTCTCGCCCAGGGTGATCCTTTCTTCTACGCCGCGGTTGTCATTGTTCTTCTCTTCAATGACCGAGCATAAAAGGAGATTACGATACATTGTGTTGAAAATGTACACATTGATTAACATTGCTTAATTTAGCTTCAAATTAAAAAAAAAAAATATTGTGTATACTTTCGTCACATTTGTAGTTTTTCTACCTTTACAATTCACAAGTGTGATTTGGGACACATTTAATTTATTTATATATTGGAATCAATAATAAATTTTTTAACAGCTGTTTATATATTTTACTTTTGCAGCTGTTTTCCTGCAAACACACCTCTGAAAGGAAGATTTTTGGTATCTTTGCTTGTTTTATAAAATTTATTCTCAGCGACAGCAATTTTACTGTCGCCAGATTTAATATAACTCAGAGAGGGCATTTGACGACAAACAACAGCAAGTTTACTGGCATAATTAGATATTATTGGTGGTGATGATTCGTAGCATTTCAAAGACAAAAATATGCACTTCTTCCTATTAACTTAATTAATAATACGGCTTCGATCCTAAATCTTCCTCTCGATGCCCATTTTCTCTAAGACTATTTTTAATTACAATAATATTTTTAAACTTTTGGTGTATAAAAAATGTTGTACCTATTATTATTTTTATATAAAAAAATATTAATTATTCAATTACCTTGTGGAAATATCCAATTAAAGACGTATAAAGTCCAAGTAAAAGATTAGAAAAATTATTTTCATTTTATATTAAATAAATGTATATAAAAATAAAATATATATATATATATGATTAAATGTTGTTTTTGCTTCGAATTTCACATAAAGCATTAGTTTATATGAACCGCCCAGATTTCACAAGTTAGACCGCCCAGACTCCACAAGTTAAACCGCCCAGATTCCACAAGTACTGTATATAAACCGCCGCCTGCTTACACGATTACCCTACAAAGTTTTTCTTGAATTTTGAAAAATTATTCAAATTTTCCTTTCGTTTTCTTCCTTTTTTTTAATTTAAAATGTTATTATGGAAATTTTACAGCACTTTTGTACTTATAAAATGGAAAAATGCAAAAACATATGAAAAGATAATTAAAAATAAATTTACAAGTAATTATAATCATCAAACAAATTGCATTTTAAACGAAACGATCTTTCCTTACAGTCGCATTCTTTTAAGGAAAGTTAGTTTGATTATTTTAACCTCCCTGTTTCCAAAAAAGTAGATCGTAATATAGTTGGCATATGGATGTGCAGGTCTTTCGAAGAACTTTTGAAAATAAACTCAGAAATTATAAACTATTTTAAAAACTTTATTCATATACTTCACACACAAAAATGACTCAATAAATCTGAAAAAAATAACATAAATATTGTAAAAGCATATACACATAAATAACTTAATTACAGACTTGTTTGTAATAAATGAAGCGCTTTTTGCATTTATTCCTTTTTTTTTCAATTTCTCTAATTGACATCACTTTCGATATTGTGCAAAAAGAACGAGCAAAGTAAAATAGAAAAAATATCGTAAGAACCAGAGCAAAAAATTAAATAGTCCGAAATTAATTCATGTCGAAGAAGTTGAATTTATAGAAAATTATAAATAATATGAAGAGACATAATGTGTCCAGAAATACTGAATAAATCTATTTAAGAAATACGAATTAAATCGATACGGAAAGAAAGGGCGAGAAACAGAAAATTAAATTTGTGCAAATTTTTAATTTTTACAAAAAATTTGTGTTCAAGCAAATTTTTGCAGAAAATTTTTTTAACATAAGTACAAAAAAAGGATACATTTACATAAATATAGAAAGAAAATAGAAGTGAAAAGTATTTGCGTTTTTTTTCCACAATACATAAACACATTGGTTTGGTGACAACAAGCTCCGTAAAGCCGCTAATAAAATGAATCAAAGTCTGCATAAATGGTAAGCGAAGGAATGTCGGCAAATGTGAAGAGAGAAAAATTGCTAACCTGATTAAACATTAGAAAGTTTTCTAAGCAAAAATCAAAATCAAATGTTTCGTCTCTGTGTCTAGCAAATGGTATTTAGTTAAATACGCCGGAATAAATATGTCTCTATTCCGAAGCGGTGTCTACTTAACCCACAGCTTCTGCGATTTAACATGTTCGAGTGGGTGACGGGGCGGTAGTAGCAAGTCTACTTTAACCATATGTGTGAGTAAACAAACATATAGTCTGAATATAGATAACAGTCAGTGTGCAGACAAAATGCTAATCGTTTGCTTCTCTCGCTTCTAAGTTCATTGTAACTTTTCGCTTGAACTCTTGTCGAAAAAACGGTCTTTAAAAATGATAAAATTCAACTTATCTCTAAAGGAAAACACAATGGAAGCCCTTACATTAAATGCTTGAATAAGTTAAATCCCATGATTATCTTCGTGATCTAAAACCTACCTGAAAAAATTTCATTTTCATTACCCAGATTAATGACTTTGAATATATATATATTTTAAATCCTCTTTTTTATCTTTTTTCAGGTTATTAATTAGCGATAGCGAGAAAGCTGTTTAAATGGAGCTAGAATGTTGAGTTTTCCTACAGAGGGACTCGTTATTCAATGTAAAAGTTCAGCTCTTCGTTTCCTACTACGTTTTAATGTATTTTTAAAAACGCAAGTTCCAATAAGTTTCAGAACTAGTCAGTCATTGTAAATTTTCATTTTCTCGCTTCCTCGCTAACCCCCGTCGAACGCAGGCATAACTCGATCGTTTATTTGCTTTAAAAATCAAGAGCAACCGGCGTTATGGGTAATAAGAATTCTTGCTGTGCTTATGCGAGTCCTCAATCGGATCGCAAATCGAAAGAAATTCCACCCGTATACGAAGAACGTCATCACGTGCATCATCATACCCATCATCATCAAGGTACAACACATCAACATGAATTGGATGGACATATAGCTTCCACAGCGGCCATACATCATAGTGCAGAAAATTTCGATAATCCACAAACATTGCAACACATTTCGGAGCGTGAAGCTCTCGAGGGCGATGAGGATCCTTCAGTTGATCCTACAGCGGCTACCATGTTTCTGGAGCGCTCTAAAGTGGAAAATGGCGGTATTACACGTAAACGGTCGCAGCATCAAATATCTCAACAAAATTCAAGTGGAGGACTTAAAAAAAGTTCTTCTTGTTCGACTATATATTTAGACGATAGCACAGTGTCGCAACCAAATTTAAAGAATACAGTAAAATGTGTATCGTTGGCCATTTATTATCACATTAAAAATCGTCAATCAGATCGCCGTTTAAAAATATTCGATGAGAAATTGCACCCGCTTAGCCATGACCCAGTACCCGACGACTACGATACGCACAATCCCGAGCACAGACAAATTTACAAATTTGTACGCACTCTCTTCAATGCAGCCCAACTGACGGCCGAATGTGCCATCGTAACACTAGTCTATTTGGAACGTTTGCTTACCTATGCCGAATTGGACGTGGCGCCTTGCAATTGGAAACGAATGGTTTTAGGTGAGTTTTATCTGCAAATACATGAAGAATCTCTGAATTAATGTTCTTCATACTTATTACATATATTGAATATGAAGGGGCCATTTTATTGGCTTCCAAAGTATGGGATGACCAAGCCGTTTGGAATGTTGACTACTGCCAGATTTTAAAAGACATTACTGTTGAAGATATGAACGAGTTGGAACGTCAATTTCTTGAGTTGTTGCAATTCAATATAAATGTACCGTTTTCGGTGTTTGCCAAGTATTATTTCGATTTACGTACACTGGCCGAAGCCAATGACTTATCCTTCCCTACGGAACCGTTGTCTAAAGATCGTGCACAAAAATTGGAAGCCATGTCACGCGTTATGCAAGACAAAGTGACTGCGGAGGCTTTAAAAAATGGCATCAAAAAATGGTCTTCGATGGATAACATTAGTCAAGGTGGTCCTAGACGTAGTGTAGCCATTCTATCGTGATTTTTATTAGTTTATTAAGTCAAATGTTTCTAGATATACGATAAAAAGTTTTTTGTTTTAACAATGATTAAAAAAAAGAAAAGGAACAAATTGCCAAACTTCATTAAACGGGCCACACATTCACACACAACACACATACACTTATTCATGCATATAAAAAAATATGTAGCGCTTTTGCTTAGCAAAGAGCTTTTTATGCAAAAATTTTACTACTACTATTATTTATTTTGAAAAAAAAAGTAAAACAAATTAAAATTAAAATTAGAAAAAATGTGAAATTTTTTTTTTAAATGCAGCTTTCGATTGGTTTCGATTTGTATATATATATATATTATATATACATATATTTTTAATAGTTTTATTAACCATAATGACAAAGAAGTACTACCATACATACATACGTTCATACATATATTAATTTATGTGATTATAGTTTTTTTTTTTTTTTAATAACTTTTGTGTTCTATCTTTAAGATTAAGTTAAAAACTTCTACGAAAACGAGTAACTTTTAAATTTCCAGTAGTAGTATATGTGAATTTTTGAATAGAAAACTTGAAATGCATACCAATGGCAATGAAATACTATTTAAAAAAAAGGGGCAGGGCCGCCAATGAAACAGGACAAAAACTAACTGATTTTGTGGAAACCATTTAAAAATTCTCTCTTCGATTGAGAAGTGTTTCTCTTGTTTTCTTGCATACATTATATACACACATATACACAAACATACGTTTTTTTCTGTAATATTAAAAAAACTACTTTCTAAATGCATTTAATCAATCATTGAATAGAATATTATTTTACCTATGAAAAGCGCATTAGAGTATATCAAACTTGAATAAAAACAAAAAGTAATTATTCGTAGACTATTAAAGAAACAAAAAAAAGATTTAAGCAGAAAAATTTTAGCAGGATATGACAAGAAACCGAAAGAGTTTTTTTTTTTTAATCAAAATTGAAGAGAATTTGAATTGGTCAAAAAAATAAAAGTAGATTTCCGAAATCACAATTGAATTTTTTACAAACGTCGATATTCAAAGATACGCACGCATTTTTTATTTATTTATTACGATTCATGTATTTCTTGTATGTATTTCACGAGCAAATCCAAATTATTCATAAACTAATTAAAATGTCTGGAGATTTTACTACAAACACTATTATATGAACGAAGAAAAAAGAAAATTTAAAATATTTTAGAATTTGTAAATTATTTTACATAAAATAAGAAACATGAAATAAACCGCAAGTCGATCTAATTAGAGTAAAAAAAGTGTTTTTTTTCTTCTTCCTTTTTTGCTTTTACAATGAGACGAGATAAAAGAATTGCGTCAAGTTGATATAAGTTTTAAATTTGTTTTATTTAAATTTAAGTTTCTCTCATTTCATAGTTTGTTAGGGGGAATACTCACGACCAAAGTAAGAAAGAATAGCAATCATGTTTTTTTTTTGTTTGTTTATAAATTTTTTCATAATAAAATAGACAAACTCTTATATTCTCAGAGCAAAAATATCATAAATAATAGAGAGAACAAAGGAAGTTACGAAAGCATAGCAACAATTTTGTTTATGGTGAAACAGTAAAAATGTTATGGGGAGAATTTTCTTCGAAAATTTGATGTATTTCGTTCATTTTCATCGAAAAGTTGATGGATATTATTTTATTTTTTTGTTTTGCTTATTGCCTGGGTACTCAACTATTAATTCACAATAGTGGAAGCAAAAAGAGCCAGAAATTTGTTCATCGTAAACTTGTTAATCCCTTCGATTTTAAGTTATTTTTCCAAAAACGATGTTTGTTCCTCCTAATATGGACACTTTTCTATTAGTTTGGTGGTTGTGCTTCCTCACTCAACTCTTCTTCTTTTTTTGCTTCAGGCGCTGGAGTATATGCGGACGGAGTTCCCGCCGACTTTGAAACGAGAATAGTAAACTAACTCCAAACAAAACTTCTGCACATATCTTTTTGAAAGGTCATTTCAAGAAAATGGTGTTCATTAAAACAGAAAGATACATGAGATTGACTTCATCTTAGCAGCAGAATTTTAGTTATAAAAAATGTTAGTTTTATATAATAAGAATAGAGTAGGAACGGAAAATTCATAACGTTAATAAAAAAATTGCCCCCGGGTCTCCTCGAAATACAAAATGTGTTGCATCGTCTTTTAAAAGAAATATTCTCTTATAAGCTAAGTAAGTTACTCAATATCTAATGTTCCTTTTTAAATTAGAGCCGATAGCCTGTGTTGCTAGTACTCAATATCTTCTTTTTTAGCCTAAGAATTTATTTCACTAGTCTAAGATTATAATAATATTAATAATAATACGAAAACGAGTATTAATAGTATTCGTAACATATTTCGCGTCGTACCGCTCAGAATAAATAATATAATTATTTTTGGCAAAAGCAATTTTACAGTTTACGATTTGTGAACAAAGTGTACATTCCCATACATTACGCTTTTTTAAGGTTCGGATTAATTACCACTCTTAGGTAATTTTGGCAACACTAAAGCAAAAATGCTGTATAAAGAAGCAGATAGAGTGAGAAATAAACAAATAAAGTTTTCTTACAAATTGTTTTGAGCAAAAATATTCATTTATACATATTTATTATTCTCAAACTTATGCGAATAAGTGTGTGAAGTGTGAATGAAAGATATATCACAAATATAATTGTATCAAGATAAGAATTTCCATCTACCAGTGAAGTCAAACTTAGTGAAAAGAGACATTGGAGGAGAAAAAAAAAACGATAACATACGCAGTTTTATATATTTAAACCACGTCATAAAATGCACTGCCAATCATAATTTTACAAATAATTGTCGCTAAAAATACGTACATCAATACATACATCTACTTTAAAACAGTAGTAGCGAAGCACGATAAAATAATTGCTGCTCAGTAATTATTAGACTGCAGACTTTTGATTTTCGACGGAAGCTAGAAATTGTGCCATAAAATAAATATAAATATAAATAAATATTGACAAACTGCAGCAAGAATTCTTTCCAAACTTTCATAAATGAAAAGTTATATTTTCTCAAAATTAAATACGGCAACGCTGTAATTTTTAGTAATAATAAAAAAAAAAAAAAAAAAAAAATAGAAAAATATATTTGAAGTGACGGAATATTCTTTTTTGGAACTTTTAAAATTATCAAAGGAAAAAATTATTGTGTAACAATATTTTATTGTTTTTATCTTTTTTTTTTTTCATGAAAGAAAAATTTGTTTACTGCGTTTTGTCTAAGCAGAATACAGAATTATTGCTCGATAAAAAATTGCTGCAATTCTATATTAGATAAGAAAAATAATCTTCGAATTTTCGTACACACAAACGTATACATTTTAAGCACAGACTGGTGGTCAAAGTCTCGTAGAGTGAAAATAGATAACAAGTAAAAGAGGGTAAACCAAATGAAGTAGAACAAAACAGAGACTAGGTCGGTTGTGCAGTAAAAAATAAAGGAACACTAAAACTAAATTATTAGATAAATTAAAAAAAAAAAAAAAACTATCGTCAAATTAACTTAGTTGCGGGTAAAATATTGCCTTATTCGGTAGTGGACGATAAAACAAATAGGATTACTATTGGTTTTAAACAACGCAATAAGCGTTAATTAGTTGAAGAGAAACTAAAAAAAGAAAATGGATGATACCAATACAACTGCTACGTCTACAGCGGCAGCTGTGGCTGACGGAGCCACTACTAAAATTCTAGACACACCTAGCAAAACTAATAGCATTACCACTCCAAAAACAACCTCATCAACAAGTGTAAAATTGTTAATTAAAGCATCAAATCAACAACACGATGACATGACGGTCGACTGCGATTTATTATGGACCGTTAAGAATTTAAAGGCCCACTTGTCATGGGTGTATCCCAGCAAACCTGTGAGTAAAAATTTTTTTTTTTCATATATACTATTCAGGTATATCGATTGTTTAGATTGAAGACTTGAATCAATGTTCATCCTATTTCGATAAATCTGTTGGGCAAAGATGATTGAGTTGTAACAGATAGCTGAAGTCCTTTTGTCCTTTAGTTAAACTTATTTTACTTCAACAATTTTGACGTTCCTTTCCCTTATGCTTTAAAACCCAGAACTGTCCAACTCTCTCTACGAAATTCTTTTAACTTCGTTTACTTTTTACTGAGTAATTTTTAGTCTACAAAAGAGCGGTTCTAATCTTACCACATGCGATAAATTTGTGTTATTGAAGGTTCGGTCGAATCCGTCCAATAAATGTAGCTCTTCGAGCTCCTTCTGAGGCAAGACCTCGAATATTTTTCGTCTGTTACAGGCATAACAAGCTCGTTTTATATCACAGCTAAAGCCGCTGACGTATCTACAATGCCGCGAATTCATTAATTGTATGCTTAAAAGACCCGAATAATGTTGAAGAAGAAGCAATGTTCCATAATGCGAACTATTTCCATCTGTTCAAGTTTACTTCTTCAGAATTATTTGAAAATTAAAGCGCTTAACAATAGTTCAAAATTTTAAAACTTTCATTTGCAAAGAGAATTGATGCCCAGCACCGATATTTTACTCAAAGAAGTCATCGAGAAATCTCGATGATTGTGAAAGTGTGTAAGGTGTATTGTTTATTCGATCGGTTTCATTTACCACCAGGTTGTATTTTCAACAAAAATATTCAATAAATAAATTCAGAAAGTATATCCCAGCTGTAGCAAGTGGAGTTCATTTGTAAGCTTTTTTGTGGCTTGGGAAAGAACAAGGCTAACTCGAAGAGAGAATAGAAAAAAAGTTCAAAGTTGCCGTTCAAAGGCGCCTTTGAAAGCAGAAAGAGCGATATGTTATTCTTTATTTTCTTTTCTTTTCCCTTGTTTAACAATTTGCCAGAAATATAAATTCAATTTAAAACTCAAACGCAATTCCAAATTGATTGTATGTTTAATGAACGACAACACTAGCAATTATTTAATTGTTCGCGACTGCTTGCCGTTTGGTTTATCAGTAAACGAATAATCTAAAAAACAATTTTCTTTTGTTTTTTTTCATTAAGCAAAGTGAATATCAAGTGCGACAAGCGGTTTTTTCTCATTCGTCAGTATTGCTCTTGGTTATAACGGGAAATATACGAACTATATTGTACTGCTCCTTTCTTCTCATATACTCTTATTATTATTATTCGTTTGCTTTGCTTCTTTTTTTGTACAGCCAGTTACCGATCAGAAGTTAATATATTCGGGCCAATTATTAAATGACAGTTTGATGTTAAAAGACGTCATACGTAATTACAAAGATGTTTATACCCATAATCATATAATACATTTGGTGTATTCAAGTAAAAACGCTTATAAGCCTGTGACAAATCTAAAAAGCAAAACACAATTAAATACGTCGACGCTGGCTGACGGAGCTAATAGTAACATGTCATCATCTCTTGATGGTTTAAGGCAAAGGCAAACAGCTTCTGCTAACCAACAGCAGCAGCAGCACCAGCAGCAACAGCAGCATCAACGGCAACAACCACAGCGACAAGAGCAGCAGCAGCAGCAGCAGCAACAATTACCCAACATAACCATGCCGCAAACGCAATTTATGCCACATCTATTAACTGCTGGCCTACGTTGTCCCCAAATGGGTGAACAATATAATATGCAGGCATTCGCCACTCAACAAGTGGCGATGTACAATTGGATGCAACAGATATATTCGCAATATATGCAACAGTGTTTGCGGTTGTAAGTTTGCAAATTCGATTTTTTAACCGGAAATGTTCAAAATTTTTTATTATTTTCTTTTGAAGATCGAATATGGCGACTGGTATTAGTGACGGCGAAACGGTCGATTCCGCGAATACCCCATCTGCAGCAGCGTTTACGAATCCCTTTTTCCTACAGCAATATGCTTTTAATGTGAATACGCCACCTGTGATAGTACCCCTGGGGCAAATCCCAGCGACTACCAATTCGATTACTAATGCCCCTGTTGACGCCGCTAATGGCGTAGCGGATCAACAGAGACCGCCGGTAGCGCCAGCACCAGAATTGCAGCAGGTGCAAGCGCCAGCGGTTGCTCCACGTTTTCCCAATATAGCTCAAGATGATCAGGAGAACCGTGATTGGTTAGATAGTTTGTTTTCTGTCATTCGTTTCATGTTATTCTTAACTATTTTGTATATTAACTCTTCGCCTCTGAGATGTTTAATGGTCTTTATTATAGCCGCTGTTATATACTGGTAAGGATAGACTTACTTGAAGTTTATTTAGAAGATCTATTAGAAATTCATCTTGTGTCTTTATAGTTATCATATTGGAGTGTTTCGTATACGACAAGAGCGTAATAATAATAATTTAAACCGCAACAATAATGCGGCTGTAGCAGCTGCCAATGCTGTCGATCAGATACGTCAAGGTATTGAACAACAGCAACAGCAACAAGTTGTTGATGCCGGCGCCGCAGTGCCTGGTCAGGCTAACGATATTCAAAATCAAGAAAACATTGGGCAAAATATCGATGCAGATGCAGCCGGCGATTCTAATCGCTTGCCGTCTCACGGCAATAATACAGAAAACCCAAATACTGCTAATGTTTCCGAACAAGCCGGTTCGCTCTCCTCCGCTCTTTCATTTGTACGCACTTTTGTTGTAACGTTCTTTACCTCCCTACTGCCGGAAATGCCGGCAGTTTAAAATGTTATCATTAAACGCTCTTTTTCTTATGGTTATATTCCGAAAAAAAAAAAAAAAACAAAAACAAAAAAGAAAAAGAAAACGTGATCGATATGCTTGCTTAACGTAATAAATAGCTTATATTTGCTAAAATATTTTTATATGTTTATAAGTAAACTTGTCGATGACTTTTCTTTTTTACTTCATGTTTGTAAGCATTATTTATTTGTTGGAACTTTAAACTGTACAAGAGGTCTAAGATCTAATAATTCCCAACAATTTTTTCAAAATTGTTAGTTTCTTATTTAATTAATTGTTTTAGATTTAATTGTTAGCAAGTCATGGAAAAGTTACTTCAATGAAAAATTATAAACAAATTCAATCCAAACACAGACACACACACACACTTTCATACGTAATCTCTACATAACCAAACACACACACATTAATATTACTTATTTTTTTAGTATTAGTGATTTAAAAGCATTCAATAATACTGAGAATTGAAATCAAATATGATAAAAAAAGAAAAGGAAAATTTACTAATGGGAATTTACATATGACGGAATGATTACTCCTTTAATAATAAGGTAACGCTTTATAGAATTTTTCCGAATTTTTTTCAATATTTCAGAGCTAAGTAAATTTTATGAATTGCCACCTGAAGGGCCGATTGATTTGCCCGGATCACGTTTGAAAGTGGACGCCCTTTTCCCGTGAATGTTTTCAAAGTAGCTAAAACATTTAAACAAAAAAGTAAAAGGGAAATGCCTGTAAGCGGCATTTTTTTTGAAAAAGTCTTTCAAGCACGAGCGCATTAAGATTTGTTACTGGGTGATCAATAAACACATTCAATGAAAAAGTCACAAAACTTGCTCTACTAACGCCTATAGTCCGAATAACATTACACGAGACAGAGCCACAAACGACTTCATAAATTTGTTTTAGATAAAAAAATTATCACAAAAATTCACAAAACTTATTAAAGGCGGTATTCTGAATGACGTCGCAGAGACATCATAAATCACAACTAAATACGTTTTATAAAAGAAATAATACTGAAATCTTGTTTTGGCAGTCACAAAACTTATGATTAACTTATATGATTAATGGCCATATTCTGAGTAACTTCACAGAGACCGTGTCACAAGTGAATTAATAAATTTGTTTTATAAAACAAAAAATAATACTGGAGCCTTATTGTGATGGATTACTAGAATTGATGCCAAATGAAGAAAATCTGCAACAAGAAAGCGCAAATTTTGCTTTCGCTTATGACCAGTGATCGATCACAACGCCAGAATATATCCCTAAGTTTCTTTAGTCTAATAAAATCATAAGTTTTCGATTTTTCCTTTATTTTCATTTTACTAAAAAAGTTAATTTTATTATAGTGTAATAAAGATATTCAAGAGCCTTTCATTTAAACAAAATAAAGGGTTTGGATTGTATAAAAAACAATAATATTTTTAAAGAAAGTAAAAATGATCGCTCCATCGCTCCTAATATCGGATGCCAAGGACCGATTTATGGTCCTCGATGACGAGTAGAAAGTTTGCAACTATCGGTAATGTATGCATTTTTCTTAATATGGAATGAAAAGTCTTTCGATCGCGAAAACTGCAAATCGGCCCCCAGTTATTCAAAAAGTGATATTTTCCAAGTATAAGTGTACCGTTGCTTGTACTTATTGAGCAAGTGCCCATATTTTATTTGCCTTATCGTGGAATTCCTTTAAGGCGACTTTTAAATGTTTGCAGTAATTTACAATGAAATGGGCTCATCAAGTCGCTTCAACATTATATTCTACCTTTTTGAAATACTACTTAATCCCGTGCGATCTATCGATCACTATATTTTGAATTCGTCTGCGAATCTTCTTTCAACCAAGAGAAACTCAGTGTGTTGGCATTTATTAGATGCACCGCATTGCAGAACTTCTTGTTTCTGTTTGTGTCAACCAGAACATTTTTCTGTTCTTTTAAATTAAACGAAAAATTGAACTTTTTTTTTATTCTTCAAAAAAAAGCAGCAGAAACTGAACGTTTCTTTTCTTGGTCTGGCAACATTCAATCAGAGATTACATATGAATTTAAAACAGATTTTTGAAATAATACTACAAAGCACCAAGAAATTAAAAAACCAAAACGAGTTTTGCACCCAGTGGACTAAATATATAATACAACAAACTTTCAATATTTTGCACTTTTGCATACATGCGAACGTTAAGAATCTGTGCACGTATTGTATGAGAACATTTTCCTTGTGAAAGTCGTCGATAAGCAATAATAACGCGACAGATAATAGCGTTATAAACGCTTAATGAAATTTTCGTTTCTGTATTTATGTCATTGCGAACAAAATCAGAACAAAATCGTTTGATGCACGAAGAACCAAAAGTGGTTCACATCTATACGTAAGTATAATAATTATTGGTTGAGACGATACGGTAATTATTTGCTTTTCATAAAACTCATTTGATCGTTTTTGCCTGCAACATAGAAGTCATTAATTGGTCAGTCGATCTTGCAGCCTAGTAGATCGCATTACTAAAGAAGGAAACGGTGGAGTATGTCTTATATGTACCTCTGTCCAGTAAAGTAAATGAATTTATTTAATAAACTCGATTGCATTGTTGCTGTAGCAGTCTTAGATGAATTACATTCCTTCCATGCATTAGGGCGGTTCGTCCACACTTTACATTCCCGGTGTACTTGTCAACCTACAAGTCTAGACACGTAACGTTAGTAATTGCGAATGCGTTCCATTCTGGCTATGTTCGTCAGGCCGGCTTGCATAGTATGCTAAGTTATTAGAAAGAAGAAATATCAATAGCCGCAAATACGTTTCATTGGCTCCAGAGCTTAGTGTAATAGATCCGTGGGTTCTAACTCGCTAACATGTAGTGGGGAAAGTTAGCACACAAGTCTAGCACAAAATGAGGAGGAGCGAGAGAGCGCGTACGAACGACTCAACTGCTGTAGATAATAGCAGAACGGCTAAGGTGAGTAAATTCAAAATTACGTAACGTAATTTTTTGTCAATCAAAGCTTAAAACGGCTTAGACGGCTTACTCGTGACATATCCAATGTAAACATGTATCGCAACAATTTAAGGCGTTAAATATTGATTAAAATTGGCTTTTTTATTTAAAGATCCTTTGTTTTTCGACTTCTTCTGACTTCTTTTTGAAACAGTTACTTAAATTCGGGTGTTTGGCAAACGCACACTGATGCGAGAAAACGGTTTAATCGATCGTAGTCGTTTAACTAATTATGCGGTAAATGCACTGACATTTGCCAAATTGCTCCCTTTCCAGGTGTAATGGCATGAAGAGTTTACTCATCGTTAGATCAAGACAATCCGGTAGAAGACATGGTAAGTTGAAGATGTTATTATTGATAATGTAGTATTGATCGAAATGTATCAGGAACATTTCGATAGCATTTTTGTTTTAAACTTTACATTCCTTTAATATACCTGGTGTTCTAATAACTAATATCGATATTAAATAATCGTATATGGCAACAGTTAATTCAATTTTTCGTGGGTTTTTGAAAGAACATTTCAAGATTTCTCTCAGATATTATTTTATTACTTTTATGAATAGCAATTACTCTCCGTGAAGGCGCAACATAGCGCAGTACCGAGCAGGTAGTCGTTGTACGTGTATGGTGTATTATATGGGAAGCAATCGTAGTAAGGAATATTGCGGTGATTTGATGATAGATAGAAAATGTGAATTTGATTATAGCAATGGTAGTCTTTTAGGTTATGTCCACTTTCGTGATTTTTATTCATTGGGTCATTGAGTAGGTTATTGTCCGACCTTTTGGACTCTTCGTAATACAACCGTGTATGAAATGTCTAAAATGTTATATTTGTGTTAAGGTCTTTAATATTTTTTTTTGATTCTACAAGCCTAACATGGTTGCATTTCCGTGATTAAATACCTGAAAGTTTGGCAGAAAATTTGAATTTGACAGCATAGAAAAGGGTGTTAGCATTTGAAGCTTCTACAGGAAAGCTTTGTAATAACCATAATTTTCGCTATCATATGTCAATTCCGATAGGTATAGATTGCAAGTTGCAAGACGTAGCAAGCCTTTTATAGGGGCAGGCCAAAACCTAAGTAGACGTGTTTGACGTTTAGTAAAGTTTCTACTTTTTTGGACAGGAACATAGTACGTTGGCATAAAAATTGAATGTACCACATCTGTAAGCATATTTTTCGGACCCATTTCCGGGCAAGGACTTTCATGAAGGGCAAATATAAGTAAACCCATATGATATTTCGTTGATATTTCGTAATGAAAATAAATGAAGAATTACACTAAACGATCTAGTGCACCTTCTAAAAAAAAAGGAGCGGATAGTCTAGTTGCTACCTTTGGCCTACAAATTATTTATTTAGTTCATATAAATAATTGTAATAATAACAAGCAAGGAAATCATATTCGGTCGTGACCGAATGTTTTATACCCGTCACTGTTATCCTAAAAAAGACTAAAGGGAAGGAATATAACTAATTTTTCATGTTCTATAATATCGAGTGGGCTTGACGGATTTTTTCTACTTTTAGAGTAAAGATGGAAATTTATGTGATACACTTGTTGTTATGTGGGCGTTTTAGGCATGTTGTTTGACCGATTTGGTTCATTTTCAAAATGCTTTGTAAATTTGCAGGCAATATTTTCATTTTTGCGAACGGGAGAATGTTTACGACAGATACTACACAAATGAGAAGACGGGCGATGGGCAGGCGAACATGCTTAAGTGTATTCTGAATGTGGAAGAGGCCAAGAATTTATATCCTTTATGGCGTTTTCCAAGCTTGTTTCTGCGTGCTATTAAGGGATGGAGAAAAAAAATTAAATTCTGATACACTATATCTATAACGTAGGGCAGAAATAGTCAATTTTTCCCACATGGACCGTAGAATGCATGTCCAAAATTTTTCTACTGTAATTTATGAGCAATGAGCAAAAAAAAGGTTTATTATTTCTTTTGAAGAACAGCAGTGTTCTTATTATAGGCGCTAGTGTAGACGTGCCCTTGGATTGGCCCATTATCAATATCAATCTGCGCGCAAAAGCTTTCTCACATTTCTACAAATTTAAATAGCTCGAGTTTTGCAACTAGGAAAATGTTTGAAACACTCATTATATCGACGGACAGACCCACCTGTTCGCGAATGTACATTTGGTCGTTGCAAACGTTTTGATAAAATGAATGCACGGGTGTAATAATACATCGGTCGAAGTTGTATGGGATATTTAATAGTCGACCTTGTTTTTTTTTCTTTACTTCGTTTGTAGTAAATAATGCAAAAATTTTTACAAATATACCGACAAATTTGCTCCACTTCTTTTATACGACTCTCTTTAAAAAGATGGCTCTCCGATTTTAATGCTCAAAATAATGTCTGCATAATCTTAGATGTTATCTAGGAAGATTATTATTATTAAAACTTCACTTATGCTTATTTTTATTTAATCGACCTTGATCTTGTAGAATTACTTAAGAAGACGCCTGCAAAAAATTTCTGTATTTCTTTGATGAAGATATACTAATTTAGTTACAGCGTTTGTAACAAGCGTGCACAAAACAATTCCTCACTTTTTTATGTTCTTGACTAATTTCTCGGTACTGATGAATCACTTTAGTGATGATATCTTAAAGATAGCGTAATGTAAAATCGTACCATGAATCGAATATGTAGGTCAAGTATCTCTAGAAAGTAAAGTGATTTCAACATTGATTCAAAATTTCGTATCCAATTGCGATCGGTTTATTAGCATATCCATGGTAGATAAAGAACTATTTAAAGTAATGAGTATCTGAAGTTCTCTTTGAGGCGTGTGCAGCTCTTCTACACGTTACAGTAGTTTTTTTGCTGGGTATTATTTTGAAAAGCGGAAAAGTAAACGTAAATTCTTTTTATATGATGCGATAAGGAATGTCGTGTGAGCGTACCGTCTAGATAGCTGGCACTGATAAGAAGACAATCGATATTCAATGTTAAACCATCTTGATATGTGCTATAAAACGTAATAACAACGTTTAATTCCGGGACTTATCAGTAAAACATTACATGTTAATGTGTGAGCGCATGTACGCATGCAGAAAAAAAAAAAAATAAACATGAAGAGAGTATATCGAGGATGCATGCATAGAGAGCGACGTTCAGATTATTGTATTCGATTCTAGTGCGAGGGGCTTGTCTCTCTTTTGCGATGTATGTGGGCATTAGAAGCATTTCAGTTGTTGAAGGAAACGGATCTTCACGTTTGATTGATTAAGGGCTGAGTGCTCTTCTGCGATCTACAACTGAGAATTGTACAATTGATAAATCCCTAAACTCAAATTGCAGTGATTCCGATTGAATTAAAAAGTAAAGTGTATTTAATATATATATAATTTTTTAAACATAAAAAATGATGGGCTTATTGCAATCACGTACAGTGGCTTCCACTAAAGATTTTTTACTAAAATCATTCTGTCGAGGGCGTCACGTAAGAACTAAATAAATTATTTTTATAATTAAAAAAAAAGAAAAAAAAAAAAAACAAATGTCTTGTTAACAGAATGGCACTGTAATTGCTATACGACGTGAAGATCAATCTGTTTGGGAACGTAGGGCAGCGTTCGGTCCTTCACATGTCCAAAAAATGGTTAAACAAGGTATCAAAGTGATTGTGCAACCCTCTAATCGTCGCGCATATCCAATGCAGGTAATTTTCCCAATCAATTTCAACTAAAAGATAGTGAATGCACAAATTAATTGACGGTATCGCCAAGGGCGTTAAATAGTTGTCGTTGTCAAAAAATAAATTATGTGATGATAAGAAGAAGTAGACAATTAATTGCTCTTATTATATTGCATATGTTATCAGATTTTAGATTGCAAAAAAAATAAATAAATATTTGTATATTTGTGTATGTGTGTTATGGAGAGACAGCGTAGCGAGGATGTAGCTTAATTCAAATCGTGCTAAATAGTTTTAATGTCAACGCGTCAACACAAACTCTTCAAATCAATTTACGGAATTTTCCATGTATTTTATCACAATTCATTCAATGGCTGCAGATTAATTGTTATTGTGGGAGAAATTAACATTGGATAGCTTTGTGACTATAGGTCTTTGATTTGCATAATATTCGTACATCGTTTTGTCAATGGGCTTAATACATACTTTAAGAAAATTGCGGCTTATTCGTATGCGATAAACAGATAAATACTTATCCTAAAATTATACTAAACTCTCACGAATAATAATTTAAAACAAATGGGAGGCTTATAATCGGGTAGGGTCGGCCTTTAAATATCGTACACGTTAGAAAAATGTTACTTTCTAAAAAAACAGGCAGGGGATGAAATAAGAGAAATGGACCAATAAACCGTTTTACATATTTCTTGATATCTTAACCACATGCAACGCTGCTGCTATAATAGACTTTTTTGAAGGCTTCCAAAATAAATCAAATTTGAATCTGTTTAAGGTGCAGCCGGTGAAGTCTATGATGGGCCGAATTAGTCTTTGCGATACTTTGGCAATAAAGTAAATTGCTTGCCAAATGAACTCAACATATTAAAAAAAAAAGATTGATCTGATTCAAGCTTAGCACAATAAACTGCTATGTTAAATCATTACTCATCACAAAATATTCAAATTTAGGCTTTGTTGCCAGGTATTTGTTTTTATAACCTACACCACTTGTAGTGCATGGGTATATTAAGTGTGTGCGGATGTATGCAACACCTAGAAGTACTTGCGATAGACTCATGTTTTTCGAATCGATCCAAGCTTATTTGTCCGTCTGTTTGTTTTGTTTTTTTGTGTTCAATATCCCGGTTGAAATATTTCACATATTTGGACGAAATTTGGTGTATTGACGTGTCTTGGTTCAAGGACGAGTGCTATTGAAAATTGTTCGAATGGAACCACTTTTTCGACCATGCTCCATGCTTCGCCTCTTTTTGAAAAGTCGATGTGTGGGTAATTGGAGGGTGGTGAAGGGTATTTAAGGGAGGGCCATGTTCCGCTATGGTGCTTCGTAAAATCGTGTATATGGGAAGATTTTTTTTAGAAAGTTTTAATTCTCCTCAATTCATATATTAAGGCGATATGGATCCACCCTCAAAAATTTAACAGGTAATGCAGATTATGAAATGAGACATGGGACTTCCGTAAAGGTTAAAGCCAATGTAAATTTTTCAAAAATACACTTGTTTGTTCTATTAACTTAAATGAGTTCTTAAATAGTCAAAAATGATATAAAAAGACAATTGTGGGCGTGGAAAAATTTCAAATGGTCAAACAATTTGAGCTTTCGAACATAATCGGTTGGGTGGTGAAATTTTTTTTGGAAAACGGTTTTTAAGAACGGGACGCAGCATAACTCAAACAATTTTCATGTCTTTCATGGGAATATTTTACAATACCTTTAAAATAAGATTTTCTAGAGAAATACCAGTGCATTGGTGCAAGATCGAATTTTTTCTTTCAAATGCCCACGACTTGCAGGGAAATCAATATTTTTAAAAAATTCTACGCGTTTCACTTATTACAGGTGGATAGATAAATTTTTTTAAATTCACTTTTGAACCATTTACGTTGCATGCCATAAAGCCGCTTAAAATTAATAGTGTCTCGGCGGAATGATGGAGAACAATTAGATAATGTATTGTCAAGGAGTCCTATCTTACTTTTAGTTTGAAAGCATACAAGTTAGGCTGCCACTAAAGTAATATGTGAATCTAAGCTTAGGAAAAGATTCCTACACTTAAGAGATATTTAAGCTCTTGAGGAGAAAAGACATACGATCTCATTATAATTATAATCGCTATATGGCTACATAGCTTACGTTTGAAGTTACATAAGCAACACTTTCTTCGTTTAACGGAGGAAATGTATTGTAGAATTTCGTTGTGTTTCTAAACAGGCCTATCTTCAAGCCGGTGCTATTATACAGGAAGACATAAGCGAAGCATCCGTGATATTTGGCGTTAAGCAAGTACCCATCGATGCTTTGATACCGGGTAAAACCTATTGCTTCTTTTCGCATACTATAAAAGCACAAGAGTCTAATATGCCTTTGCTGGATGCTATTTTAGAAAAGGTAGCTTTGATGTAATTCATTTATTCATTAAAGTTTTTATTGAACAGTTTCAATTTTTTTTAGAAAATTCGTCTTATCGATTATGAGCGTATTATCGATGAAAGTGGCACAAGATTGGTGGCTTTTGGTAAATATGCTGGTGTTGCGGGTATGGTGAATATATTACACGGTATCGGTTTGCGTTTATTGGCTTTGGGTCATCATACTCCGTTCATGCATATCGGGCCCGCACACAATTATCGCAACTCTTCCATGGCTCGTCAAGCAATACGAGATTGCGGCTACGAAATTTCTTTGGGAATGATGCCGAAATCAATAGGTCCTCTTACGTTTGTCTTTACGGGTTCCGGCAACGTTTCACAGGGCGCTCAAGAAGTATTCCAAGAGTTACCTGTTGAGTATGTGCCGCCGGACATGCTACGCAAGGTGGCTGAGCATGGAAGTAAGTTCATCCCAGTACTGCGGAGTGAATAAAATTTTATAAGTTTTTCTTTCGTTTTCATCTTTTAGGTCAAAATAAACTCTATGGATGCGAAGTTAGTCGCGCAGATCATTTGAAACGTCGTGAAGGTGGCGGCTTTGATGCCAAGGAATATGATGAATATCCAGAACGATATATTTCTACCTTTAGCCGAAAAATAGCTCCTTTTGCCTCCGTCATTGTTAATGGGATCTATTGGGCTGTGGGGAGTCCCAAGTTGATTAGTATTCCCGATGCTAAAAATCTCTTGAGGCCAGCGAATACGCCTTGGTTACCTACGAGTAAAGGTAGTCCCGCTTTGCCTCATCGAATGTTGGCCATTTGTGATATATCAGCTGATCCCGGCGGTTCCATTGAGTTTATGAATGAATGCACTACTATTGACACGCCATTTTGTTTATATGATGCCGATCGCAACAAAGATACGAAGAGTTTTAAAGGTCCTGGCGTACTAGTGTGCTCGATAGATAATATGCCCACGCAATTACCACGCGAAGCTACGGATATGTTCGGTGAATTGCTGACACCTTTTGTAGGTGATATTGTTAAAAGCGACGCGAAGCGTTCATTGGAAGAGGAAAAGTTCTGTTTTCCCATTAAATCGGTAAGAGGAAGAGACTACTATAGAGACTAATATTTTTCACGAAAGCTTTTACTCCATCTTCAGGCGATTATTGCCAGCAATGGCAAATTAACCGAAAATTTTGAATACATACAAGAGCTACGTGAGTCTAATAGGTAAGTAAATGTAATTAATGGCCGAATAAGTCCAAGGCTGATCAATCTTTGTTACTTTTTTAAGTTGTCGTTCTCGTCACAAAATTGAAGGTCGCTCGGAGGCTCATAAAAAGGTTTTGGTATTAGGCGCGGGCATGGTTTCCGCTCCTCTTGTGGAATGGTTGCATCGCGAGAAAGATGTATTAATTACCGTATGTTCCCAAGTTAAAGAAGAGGCTGATCGTTTAGCTAACCAATACGCTGGTGTCGACAGTGTTTACCTTAATGTCACCGAGGGCACCAATCATTTGCAGGAATTATGTGGCAAAGCCGATGTCGTGGTTTCTCTATTACCCTACAGTTTGCACGGCATGGTAGCCAGATATTGTGTAGATGAGAAGACTCATTTGGTTACTGCCAGTTATTTAAATGACGAGATTACTGCTCTTCATGATGAGGCTCTGCGTAACGGTATAACCATTATGAATGAAGTTGGTTTGGATCCTGGCATTGATCATTTGCTGGCTTTGGAATGCATACACAGTGCTCAGGAGAAGGGAGGTGTTGTGGAATCTTTTGTTAGTTTTTGTGGTGGCTTGCCTGCGCCCGAACATTCTGACAACGCCTTACGCTACAAGTTCTCTTGGTCTCCACGTGGTGTTCTTTTGAACACATTGTCGGCTGCCAAATATTTGAGTCAAGGACAAATTGTGGAAATTTCGGGTGGTGGTGATCTAATGTCGAATCCTAAAAGCTTAGACTTCTTGCCGGGCTTCGCTTTAGAAGGTTTTCCCAATCGTGATTCTACTAAATACTCTCAACTCTATGGGCTTGGACGAGATGTACACACTTTGTTGCGTGGCACGATACGCTACAAAGGATTTTCGGCTTCAGTGCAACCAATGCAGTTGTTAGGTCTGATTGATACAGAGCCGCATCCTATGCTACATCCCGGCGGCCCGGAAGTTACATGGCGCCAGTTAATTATTAACTTATTAGGACTTACAGATACCAGCATATTTTATGAGAATCTGAAACAAAAGTTAATGGAACGTATTGGTGATGTGGAGGTCGTCGAAAGCTTGGGCCTCCTGGAAGACACACCTGTGGTTAAACTGAACACTCCCTTGGACACTTTAAGTCTTTATCTGTCGAAGCGTTTAGCTTTCGGTACGTAAAAGAGACATTTCATTGCAATAAGAGCCTGCGAAGATGTCTTCGTAAAAGTCTGTGACTTTTGTGGCGATTGCTTTGTTTTCGTTCGCCCAGAAATGCAAGTGATTGAATTTTTTTTTGTCTTATTCGTTATTCTCCTTAAGAACGACATGAGCGCGATTTGGTTATTTTGCGGCACGAGGTCGGTATACGTTGGCCCGACGGCAGACGTGAAGAGCGTGGTATTAATTTTGTCGTATATGGTCAGCCAAAAGGACATTCCGCTATGGCTATGACGGTGGGAAAGCCAGCGGCTATAGCGACTAAAATGATCCTAGATGGTAAGTAATTATTGTAATCCAGAATAATATTTTCAGAGTTCTAAAATTTCTGAATAATAATTTAGGTGAAATCCAAGAGCGTGGTGTGCTTTTGCCATTCACTCCTGATATCTATCGACCCATGCTGCAACGTTTACGCACTGAAGGTTTAACGGCTACCGAGACCTCTAAGTGGATACAATAAAGCGAAATTTTAGCGTTCAATACAGTTTCGAAAATATTTGTTAAGATTGTTTTTAAGATGATTTTAAATCTAAACTAAGTAAAATAAAAATTTTTAAAGTCTGAAATTTATGGACGCGATGTATTGTATTTAGGGTTTTCTCTTCTCGAAACAGTAATTCGCGATACATGCGCAATAGTTGTTGCACATTAAATCTATTCCGGTTCCGGCATTCGGCACACATAGGCTCTCTGTGACATTAACATGGTGAATTTTTATGGATAAACATGCGACTATTTGAGCGCGCATACTTCCCTTAATAATAGTTTAATCTTCTCTTCTCTTGCTGTTCTCTGTTTTTTTTTTTTTTTTTTTTTTTGAAGCAACAGTTGTCTAATAACGTATGAGTAAATTTTAAAAAGTAGGAAAAATTGTTTAAAAAATTTTCATAAGATTGTCGGCCAAGTAGAAATTCTTGATTTCGGCTGGACAGTCGTAGTTAACCTAATTAACATTTATCAATTATAATCAATTGATCAATTATATTATATTATTTATGTCTACTATTATATTTATTTATTTATTATTATAATTCCATATAATGAATGCCATTAGAGTGACAAAAGCAGAAGAAGACAACCTGCTTTACAAAGGCGCTGGAGATAGGGAAGGAGAACCGGCTGCAAAATCCAGAAGTACCAAGCCAAATATTTAATTTCTCGTCGGGTTACTACGAACTTATGAGGCGACATCAGGAGTTGAATACTCTCTGATGGCTCGTTTCTGTAAAGTTTTGGAAATTGACGGCTCGTTTTGAAAAATGGCCTACGTTTTTGTTTGATAAATTGAAAAATTGGAAAAAGTTCAACTTGCCTGCGCTCAAGGACATCCGCATGATAAAGGATACAGTGGGTTGTAATCACAAAGGCTCGCTGGAGCAAGTAGTGCCAACAGATTACGAGAATAAAGTTTGTCAGATCCATTTCGAGGAAATATAATGTGATCTTATTCCAGCAGATATTATTATAATTTTTTTTTTGAAACGTCTTTGTTTGGAATCTATATATAGTGAATTTAACATATATGTAATTGATTAAATTTTGACATCAAGTTTTGAGCATACATTAAGAGTATCAGTCTATATCAAGAGCAGGTCTAATAAACCTTATTCAATACCTTAATAGTAGTGTGCATTACATATGAAGAGAAGAGTGTAACAGGTGTAAGAAAATCTAGAAATTCTCTTTTAATGACCACAGATGCTACACTCGGAGATAAGCACACTTTATATTATGAAGCGATTTACACTTGGACGTTTGCTTGTCCGTCTAAAGTCTATCCATCAGTCCTATCCAACTATAGTACTATTGAACTATCGGGGTCACTCTCAGCGTATTTTGAAAGGAGGTTTTAGATTGTAATATTTATCTATTGGTGGAAAATAGTTATTTGGCATGTATAAAGTGAATGTGGAAATTTGGTTGGGAGGGGACTACTTTTTGAATCCCAATTTAAATAATAGAAGTAAGTAGGTTTTCTTCTATCGCAAGACTTTTTTAGTTACAATGAGTACAAAGTAATGACTTTATATATAAATTTACCGCCCTTTGGTTTGGCTTACGAAATTACATGGGTACAAAAGTGTACGAAAGTGTACCCATGTAATTTCGTAATTTTTGGCATTTTATTATGAAATTATATTATGAGAATTGGTGTGGAGCGTGTAGCGACCGGCCATGTCCGTCTATAACACTTTCAATTGTTTGAGAATTTTGATTTCATTCACAATCTTTTGAATTCATTGTCACAAGCAGAGGGTATGTTTAATTAATCATTTAACTTGAACTTGAGGTGGCTCGGAAATGTTTCAATCCATTTATCTGTTTGCTCGAAGTTTCCAACGGCTTCTTTTCGAAAATATTCTGCAATTTTGCTAATGTCAGGATATTTTTGGGGTGAATGAGCAAAAACCATGACTAATTGCTTTTAGCCACTAATTAATCAAGAATTATACGTATATTTTGAGGGATATCTTTCTATTCGTTATTCTTCATTTTTCCCTTTTGCTTATGAATATTTAAACTTCCTCTTTACTGCTTCGAATTATTTTTTTTCTCTTGGAACAGTTTTCTAGAGGGTTCAAATTTGTGCCAATGTTTCATTAGGGAATGCCTAAATGTACAGTTTTATCTCTCTATCTGATATTAATCGCTATGAGAATTCCCAGAAAATGCCGGCCAATATAATCATTTTTGTTAGGAATAGGTGTATGTATAAAAGATCGGAGTGAGAACTTCCACGAAAGTTCTCTAATAATGCAATCTTGTATGCTTTTAAGCTAATATATATGCATGATGGGCATCCAAAAGTCGTCGTAGAGCAATTGTAGTGATTTTTAAATATAAAAAGGAAGGAGAGAAGACTCTATCATTCCACCCCAATTTGAAATAGTGACTACTGAGAGCGCCAACAGTAAAAAGTCAAAGATTCTTAGAGAGTAAAGTAAAATAATAAGAGAAGAGAGTTATGAGCCGGCTTTTCATGGTTTTAATAAACATTAAGCTGATTAGTTCTGTCTCAATCTATATTGCGGAGAAATGTTGTTCGCGCGTAAATTTTTCATATTTTGGAAATAAAAACGTGCACGTTTCGTTTGCACACAGCCAAGATATATGAAGGTAGCTTTAATTATTTATTTTGCTTGCGGTAGTGTGTGATGATGATAGTGGTATATTGTGATGATTACAAATCGAGAGCAGCAGCAGCAGCAGCAGCTTACAATTTTCACAGTCATTTAACAATATTATCAATTCACTAAGTATATATATTATATACTCGCGTACTTGTGTGTGTGTGTGTGTGTGTGTGTGTGTGTGTGTGTATGTGCGTGTGCGCGTACGAGAGATGAAGTAATTTAAATAAAATTTATTTATGTGCGTATAAATGAAACAAAGAAGAAAATTTACGAAAAAAAAAGAAATGTAAAGACATTTAACGCACTGGTAAAGAGAACAAATTTTTTGTTTTGTTTAGATTTAAAAAAGAAAAACAAACTTCTACGCAAAGTAACATAGCACTTTAGCATCCTTAGCACAGTTTCATTGTATGCTTCGCGAGCAACGGTTTAAATCGATATTTCAGATAATCGTAATGATAATGATGATGACGATGATGATGATTATTAAGTTAACTTGGACGGCTTAAAGCGAATTACTAGTGTTTTGAATAAGTTGGTAACAATCAAATGAAATATTAAGAAAGAATAGAATATATATATATATATATATATATATACATATATATATATATATACATACATACATATATACGTGTATAAAACAAGGATACAAAGTGAATTCGCATTTCAACTAACAAAACTCGATAGCATTATGATGGGTATTAAATATTTGTCGCAGGCCCATTTAAAGGGATTCGAACGTTATAAGGTAAGTTATTTTACTTTCAATCAATACTAATAAGAAATATCTATCTATTCGAAAATCATGACATGATTGCCTAAAAGTCATGACTTTAACCTTGAACTGTGTAAGAGTTTGAAAAGTTTTCTTAGAGAGAGTCTCTGTGCGTGCACTTCTATCTGTTTAAAAAGGCGCAACAGATTTGTTTTGTAGGCATCTATGTAAATGCATATATGATTTATGGAATAATGTGCTCGGAATTAAATCACGCCACCGATTGATAAATTTGTTTAGAAATTCTCGTTGTCTTCTTGTGTATAACAAGACATATATTACATCTATATATGTGTATATATATATACTAGTGTAAAAACGCACTAATCAACGAACGATTTTTGTCACTTTTCGCCTTTTTTTTTTTTTTTTTGAGAATTTCTATCATAAACAAGTGTATAATGAATGAATGAATGGATGTTGTGTTGTGGCTGCGTTTTTAATATTATTAATGAATAAAGTAACAACAAATAGAAATAATTAATAATTAAATTAGATTTCCATATTCTCCTCACAAAATCTTCTAATTACGTTTATTATTTATACACGCAACTGATAAGGTTCTGTAAACATAATATATTACAAATTTATTTATTATATTATATATATACGTATATATATATATATACCAATGCATATTTGAATGTATGCATAAAGTAGCGTCTATTCAGATTATTAAATGCAAACCTCCCCCTATTTTTTGAGCAACGTTGAACGACACTATTACGAATACAGTGTCATTGACCATCTGAATAGCTGATACATATGCATATTCTTGTGGTTCTTCTCATTATATTTTGTTCCTTCAATTTATCCACTTATTTCTAGTTCACTCGTGATAATGATGTATTTAGTACTGAAATGAGGTCACTTCATGAAAATAAGGAAAAGCTTAGGCTTGTTTTGGATGTTTTAGCACTAAACGCTGCAGGAATGCAAGTGATACACGATTTCTCTTTAACACATTTCTGATCATTCATTTACATGTAAGGTTGTTATGTAATATATCATTCATGTTTTTGTGGAAAACCCGACAGAAATGCAAGTTAAGAAAAAAGTTCGTGGCGTCTCCCCAAATACTTGGATTTAGAATCATGTAAATTTGGCATAACCCACCCTATCAAGCTCGCATGTAGAACACTTGCAGAAGACAGCAGTTTATGATAATTTAAAAAAAGACACTAAGGCGTTTGATAATATGCTGGGTAATCGTGTTTTGAAAATGAAATAAAATTTTGGTAAAATTTACTATACATTACAACCTTACTTTGGCCAAGGCAATAACGCTTCGCAGGCTTGTGAATAAGTTTTTGGTATTGGTGATGAAAGTGCTTTATAAGCTACATGTAAGCGAACTCACTTACGTTTTGGAAATTTCGTGTTTAAAAATGTGCCGCACTCTGGTCGGCGAATCGTTGTCAAAGTCGGTCAAAGATTATATGCTATATATTTCTAATATTAATAACATTCATGCGGAATTAAATATTAATCAAAATCTAGTTTTGAGCCGATTGCATGACTGCATCTGCTAAAAGAACATCGACATTTCGATACCATGTAAACTAACAGTGAAAAATTCAAAGGGTGAGCCGAACTTATGTTCATAAATAAATTACTGCTGAGGCGAAAGAAAATCGAGCCACTTCGAAAAAGACTGGCATGGGATGATGAAAAGCAGGCGGTGCGCGACTATAATTTGCGAGACAAATGGTGGTCCTAGATGATTGAAAGTGCACAAATAGATTCGTTTGATACTTTTCCTAATGTTATGTTTTCTAATATACAAGTCTGGGACGGCACAGCCGGCTGGTCTGGACGGGATACCGTCTGGCATCTTAGGGTTTTGTGTTAATATTCTGCATATTCACTTACCATTGCTAACTAGCAATAATAGCAATTAAATAACTCTTGTCTTAGGAAAGGCTACTTCCCTAAGTTGTGGTACGTACGCTATTATAGAAGGGCTGTTAAACAGGCCACTCTTCCCAGATGATTCGAACATCTTTTAGCAAACAGACTTCAACCATCATTATCATCGTGTCACCATGGTTTTGCTAAGGACAGGCCTACTACGACTAACCTAATGGAGCTTGTTTGTAATGTCTGTAAAGGATTCTCACAGAATCAGCAAACTGATGCTGTTTACACTGACTTTTCTAAAGCGTATAATCGCGTAGGTGATGAATTGCTTTTACATAAGTTGTACTGTACTGATTACCTGCTAATTTGGTTACATGGTTTAGGTCATATCTAACTGGCCGTATCCAATGAGAGTTAGTTAAATTTTATATATATTTTCGACTGTAGAAGTTATATCTGGTATTGCGCCGGGAAGTCATTGGGGTCGTCTACTTTTTAAATTATTCGTTGATGATCTACCATCTTCAATCCTCATCATCATCAATCCTCAAAAGTGTTTGTTATTTTACAAATTCATCATGCTGCAGAATGGCAAATGTGTGCTTTCGAACTTAAGTAAGTTTTATGTCTGGCGTAAATAACATTTCATAGCGGGGGGTCCATGGCTATTGGCTGCTCCATTAGCATCCATATGTTGGATTTTGTTACGAGCTTAACGGATCTTGGGTTTGCACTTGATATTAAATTGAACTTTAAGTTGCAGGTTCATGCTAGCGATAACACAATAAAAGTTTTGTTGGGCTTTATTAAACGGTGGTCGCTTGACTTTAAAGGCACTTATATTAGTAAAACATTGTTTACTGCATAATTCAAATATGGTTTGGCCCTATAGGCACTGCAAATGGCTTTGTTAAAGTTTGCTTTACGTGGCTTGGGATGGAATACGGCCTTTCTATTTCCACCTCATGAGAACCGTCTTAAGCTTATACTTTTTCCGACCTTGGAAAGTAGACCTACTTGGGAGAGCGTCTCATTTATAATAAGATTATTATTATCTGGTCAGTGTTGTTCACTATTTTTATTCAATGAGTTCAACATTCCTATCCCGGCAAGAGTAATCCGTAATTATTGGCTTATAAAGCTGTCTCAAGCTCGTACCAACTATGAGATGAACCATCCACTTCGAAATACGTACCGATCTTTCAACGACTTCTTTTATATTTATGACGTAACGCAGTCGACATTTCTAAGTGTAAAGAAGACAATATTAAATTGAAAGATCTGACTGTTCCTCCCGATTGCTATTGTTACGGTTTATTTTTCTTCTTCTTCAGAAATTGGTAGAAAATAATACCATGGTATTCTAAATGAAGGTGAAAAGCTTGGAGGGAACGAGGTTATTTTTTAAATTTCCTACTACGCAGACAACACATTGGAGTGTGAGATTGACGAGTCGACGAGACTTTTCGATAGCAGCCATCTTCAAACAAAATGTGTGAAAAGTTCGTGACATTGCGACCATTAGTACACAAACTACATCTGTTTTAATGACGCTATAAATTGTCAAATTTTTTATTAGTATTCGCTCTAGAAACCCTTTATGACGCTTACAACAATCATCTCGATAAGCGGACAATTCGAAATTTTATGAAAAGCATGTAAATGTACTTTTTATTTTTATTAGATTTTTTATCGTTACCGTTAATTGAATTTTAACGTGATGAACGATGTGCAAACGAAAAAAAGCGTTCATCTGTCGAAGCTTAATTTATAGCTTAAATCTACACTTCTTTTGTTTGTACTAACGTTGAGCATTCGCTGAATCAGGTAACGATATTTTTTGGTTACGAAGACAAAATTCATTTGAACTTCTCTAATTCGTGTAGATGTTCGCTGATATTTCTTTCGTTGCCTAATAGGTTCTTTGCCAGCTAAATTCGTTTATGTGACGTTTGAGATTTTCAATGCATTCGGTGGTTTGTCAGCCAAATTTCTGCGCAAAGTTGAATTATAACGAATGCAGATGATCTTTTAATGAGGCGTGACGTTTTCAAAGTGTTTGGCGTTAAGCCTTTCCTGCTTAAGTAAAATCGTCCCGATTGTCAAAACGTTGACAGACTGTGGAGATTTTCACATTTTTATCCATCGGCAATATTTTCGATTTTTTCTGATTTTTATTTTATTTTATTTATTTGCTATATTTTACCTATTTATACATGAGTGTTAACAAAAGGAAATTACAGTGGAATTCAGTGCATCTTAATAGAAAATCTTATACTAATCGTTTTAAAACTACAAAAGCATACAATAGAAAGGAAGAAAAAAAGAAGAATAATAATAACAAAGTAAGTCAAAAATAAATTAAAAAGCTAAAAATAATAATTCATGTATAAATAAATAAAAATAGAGAGAAACAAAAGCATGTACACAGCTAGCACAGAAACAAACCCGCAACAAGAACAGATCCAGGTTGCAAGTGAGCCCCTAAACCATTGCAAACATGCATAAGCTTGGCAACCAACACGTTAACAACACAATATTATTTTAAATAAAAAACGAGATGTTAAGAACGAATTGTTAGTTTAAGTACGACATAGGTAAATCGCGCATATTAAGCAAAATTGCTTTATTAGATTTTAAAGCATCCGATAATGAGAATAAGTGATAGACATCATTTAGGTTTCTGCAAACAACTCTGAGCGGGTTAAACGGCTTATAATTGTATTTACATTGGTAAGCTTGATCAAGATAATGTGCCTAGAGAAGCGGTTAGGGACATTAAAGCTTATCGTACCAAGTAACGTGGGCGAGTCAATAGAGCTATTTATTACTTTGATTAAGAAAGAAACCCTAAGAACAAATCTACTTTTCTCAAGTGACGGTAAGGATAATAGAAGTAACCTATTTTCTTAGGGTGGAAGAGAAGCAATCGGGTCCCAACCTAAATTATAAAGTGCAAATAGCAAGAATTGCTTTTGAACAGATTCAATTGAATGTACATAGCACCTGTATGAAGGAGGCCACACAACAGAGGCATATTCAAATATAGGTTTAAGAAAACACATGTACAGCCTTTTCATAATATAAGGATCATCAAGCGCTTTGGACCACCTCTTTATAAAACCAAGCGTTGACCTAGCTTAGCTTAACGAGAGCTCAATATGCAAGTTAAAACCTAATCTATGGTCATATAGAACGCCTAAATCTGTGAACGAATCGACGTCCTCCAATTTGTGCGAATCAACGAAATACTGAGTAATGAATGACTTCTTGAGAAAGAAAGCTTCTTACATTTATTCAAATTTAGTTTCAGAAGATTCAAAGAGCATCATGCAACTAAATTTTTCAAGTCATTTCGAAGCTGACAGTTTAGGCAAGACACTCAACTTAGCAATGCCTCTGTAGTCCTCTACAAGTTGTCTACTTCCACTTTTCTGAATAGGAATAAGGGAACAAGTTTTCCGAAACAAAGTGAAAGTACCTAAATTCAAGGACTTGTTAAAAATCTTTGAGATAACACCGCATAGCTCGCCAGCGCAAGATATAAGTAGACATGATGGAATTCCATCAGGTCCAGGCGCACAATTATATTTTTTTGGAGAGCTTAACCCGTCGAAAATCGTTACAGAAGCTCAATGTACCATCATGTTTTTAACGAAAGAAAGTAGCCAATGCTGGATGATAAATATCTTCATTACACTGCGCACTTTACGAACATGAATGGAATATGGAACATATAATTATATCAATAGGCTTTTGAAGTTTACCTAGTTCCCCGATTTAAATTGTTATTTATTAATTTTTTTTTGCTTTTTACATTTGCAGTACAACAGTATAGACACAAGTTATCTCAGTGTCTATGTTATGCATCCGCTTTGGAATAATTGTGTGAAAGTAAGTCAACTATGAATGTTAGATCATAAGAGAATTTAAATACATGTCCAAATGTCTTTGTATATATTTCTTTAGCTCCTACCAAAATGGTTGGCTCCAAATATTATTACATTTATTGGTTTCTTATTAACCGTTGTTAATTTTTTATTAATCGCTTATTACGATTGGGATTTCACTGCAGCGAACAATGAAGAAAATACTATACCAAGTTGGGTGTGGTCAGTAGCCGCTGTTAATATATTACTTTATTATAATTTAGGTGAGAAAAAATGTGAAAATTTCAATGCGAAAATCTTATAAACGAATTTAATTTTTGTAGATGGCATGGATGGCAAACAGGCTAGACGTACAGGTACGAGTGGCCCATTGGGAGAATTATTCGATCACGGTTTGGATTCATATTCAGCTGGCTTAATACCAATTTACATGTTTTCTTTATTCGGCACCGACGATTTACCACCGATACGCATGTTTTCCGTGCTATGGACTGTTTTTTTAAATTTCTATTTAACACATGTGGAAAAGTACAACACTGGCATTATGTTTCTGCCATGGGCTTACGATGTTACTATGTGGGTGAGTGGAATGGAGATAATTACTCTTTTTATTTAAATTAAAAATATAGCTTCAAGTATTTTTCTTTATAGGGAGTCAGTCTGACGATGTTCATAACTACGCTGCTAGGTCCCAGTATATGGCATTATCGCATCTTTTTTGATTTATCCATGGCCAATATGTTCGAATTTGTTCTGATAGGTTCGGGTATAATAACCAGTCATCCGATTATATTGAAAAATATCTATATGTACGTAAAAGTTGGTAAAAACATATAAGAAAATTATTTTCCCTTTACCGCGAAATTCTGACTCTCACCACCTGAGATGGTCGCCTGAAAATTGCTTGGCCTAGAACATATTTCTTCCAGCTTTTCAATTTGATTCCAAAAGCCAACATCATTATTTTTTGCTTTCGCTCCGCACTAAAGGAAATCCTTGTACGAATAATGCTGCTATGAGTCGAGATTTAGATAATTTCCTTTCAAATGGATTTTATGTAAAATCTTTAAAGTTGCAGAAAAGCTTAGCTCATATAAACTTTTACAATCTTTTACTTCCGTGATATCGATCGATCCAACTGCCCTTCCAAAAAGTGACAAGTTGAGTTTCAGCAAGAAGGAAAATTTTTAAGGCGCTTTATCCCGCGGATACCCTCCTCATTTGCCATAAGCTAAACTGCTTTCTTGTGCAGAATAGTAAAGTGAAACTCATTTTGCTTTTAACAAACGAAAATGTTGGTTTGTTGGAAAGTGTTCGAGCTAGATGCAAATAAGACTTTGTAGGACGGTTGCAGTGATTTTGCCAACAGTTACCTTTTCCAACATAAAACAGAGAGCTAACCATTTTGTTCTCTTGCTTGAAACTCGTCAATAATTATTATGTCCTTGCTTTTAATAGAAGACAATTTATAGTTCTCGATGTCGAATTTTTCTTACTGTCGAATGAAAATTCTTTTGATTGTAGAATTATTGTCGTGTAACGTACCCAGTTTACAATCGAATTTGCACGATATCGAAAACCATAAATCGGGCCAAGAACATTATTAAGATAGGCGTTATCTAACATTTTCAACGATTTTATATATGAAATCGTGCTGAATGGTCGGAATTTGAATCAAATTCTTCATTGAGTGTTTTTTGAGTGCAACTATTTCCGAAAAACAATTTGAGCAAAATATACGCATATAGCTTCTGGACATTAATTTACATCATTTAACAATAGAGTTAGAGTCTGCGAAGCAAAGATCATTCGTAACACTGATCAAGCATTGCGTACAAGTCCATTAATTAAATTTACGCCATGTTTAATAAAAATGTTTTTCGTGGCAATTGATCATCTATATCGGATTTCTAAAGCATCTATCTTTGGGTGGTGATTGCATGCTAAAGAACAGTTAAGGCAAAAATAAGAAGTAAATTTAGATAAGAAGAAGTGAATTTCGTTTAGGTCTTACAAAAATAAAACCGGTAAAATGCGCCCTATACTTGAAGCGGTTCGTCCCCTATTTGCTTTTCTATGGCTCTTTGTTATCACTCTGATCTGGTCGCTGTATTCACGCAATGGTATTATAAATCTGGAGCCCCGAATTCTATTTCTTCTATTCGGCACCTTGTTCTCAAATATAGCGGTAAGTGCAATTCTGAATAGTAAGAAACGCCCACTAAATTCTTCATTTTTACAGTCTCGTTTAATTGTGGCTCAAATGTCCGATACACGATGTGATGCTTTTAATATTTTAATGTGGCCTTTGGTCGCCACTGTGGCTATTAGTTGTTTTCCGTGGTATAAACAATTGTGGGGCGTGGATATAGCTGCCGATACGGAACGCTGGATTGTCCAGGCTTTAACCATATTTGTGACCATCGCTCATTTACATTACGGTCAAGGAGTCGTAAGTTGTGAATATCTTCCAAATGAGTTTAAATTTCAAACTGATTGTTTTTTTCTTTCCTTTCCTTTTCTTAAAGGTACGAGAAATGTGCGATCATTTTAATATACGATGTTTTAAAGTAAGAGAAAACAACGATAAAAATTTTTAAATTTTATAGACTGCATTTAGTAATAAATAGTATATATGTATATGTTTGTCCGTTCGTAAAATTGTTTGAGGGGTGTATACACATATTTACTAACCGCGTTCAACTATTTCAATTCACTTTAGAATATAACCAAAATAAATGAAATAGATTATAAGAGGGTGTCACCTGTTTAACGTAAACATAATGATATATAATATAATCCAAACATTTCAATGAAAGTACACGAATTACAATGGAATTAATAACAAAAAGTAGAAGTGAAATATCTAAAATACTCTAACAAAAAAAATTGTACGAAAAAAGATTCTTATAACTCATCTTCACATAGACTGTGATTAAATTTGATGTATGAGAGGTTTGTGAAATATCTTAACTGCTCCTTACGTAGCGTCTTTTAACGAGAGGTGTCATTTTAAATCTATCACTCAATATAGCTACTGTTTTATTTTATCTGTGCAGTAGTTTGTGTCGTCTTCTTTCTTATGCATGACCACTTGCGTGTTGACTACAAAAAGCGCCTTCGTCTATGGCATCAATCTTGGAGGCAAAAAAGTTTGTTAATGTCGTTGTATACGCCATCATTCGGACATTTTGACGTCGAACCGGCAGCATTTTCGAAAAGGTATGGTTCAACTACATCGCCAGTCCAACAGCAGCCCTAAATTGTTGTTGTAGGTGGAATGATTGTTGCACTATTTCGATTGGGATTACGATGCGACGGTTTTGCCTGTTTACGTATTCAAATCTATGAAAAGCTCATTATTAGGCGCCTCATCATTCAGATTAATTTTTCTGAAAAAATCAAGATTTTGTTCAGGTGCTTCTAGCATTCAACCTAAGAATGTATAGCGAATGTAGTTGCCAAATGACACCGGAATGGCAGTTGTATCTTGCAGAAACGTTATATATATTATACTATATATATTGCTTTTGTATATTGACAGGTGCAAAATAGCGCAACATTTCAAATGACATTTCCTATTGAAAGAGGCTATAAGTTTCATTTCATGCATTTGTTATAAATTTTTGCGCCGCGTGCATCGCTTATTCGTTATTTTATTATGATTCAACGCACCCACCGAGGTTACCTGTTTATATAAAAAAAAAAAAAAAAATTGATAAATTCGTATATGCTCCTTTGAGCCTTATAAAAATGAATCAAGCCAAAAGGATAAGAGGCAAGTTTATCTGCTGAAGTAAAATGAGGTAATCGCGAGAGTAAAGAACTTTCACTTCACCCACCAAATCTACTAAATATAATCCAAAGTTCACGGAATTTAATCTCATATCTTTCGTTTTTTATATTTAACTTATTTAACTTTTTTTTTGCATGGATATGAAATTAACCTTAATCTCAATAGCAAATAGTTCTCATTAAACTTCTTCACATTACCAATATGTGGCTATATATGTGAAAGTCTTGAGTATACGCTGATCATGTTATGGGACAATATTTTACTTAAATCAACTACTAAGCATATCTAAGGAATTCTTATTTAACTGTTGTTTCTTATGTATAAGAGAAAGTGAAAGAAGATATATTGTATCTGGTGCGATAATCTATACCTGTTTAATATTTTATTGTACGTTCTATGTCTAATATGTTCTGCCAAAAACGAAATGTCAAGCTGATGATTTTCACAGTGTATTTACTATCAAATTTTGAATACATTCGAATGCATATTTTATTCATATTACGGCTTATGATGAGCGAATCGGATGGGAGTTAAATCGATTTGATCCTTTTATAGGAAGTCCAAATACTGACAACCGGCATAAGATTTTGAGCTTCTTCGCAGTGACTTGCGTTTGTTGTTGAAAAGTTCACGGTTGTAAAAGAGTACGTAGTGTACTGGGACTTGGCTGGGGGATGGTCAAAATTGACTATGATTCGCTGTAACAAGGCCCACAAATCCAAAGAACACAATTTGATATGAATCTGAAATTTAAAAGCCCCATAAACCAAACAAATTTTTACTTACAACCCATAATTCCTTCGCAGAAATATTTCCTAAGCCCAGCTATGGCATGCCTAAAATTGCCAAAATTTTCAGTATTATTGGTTGAGTTGGTATATATTAATCGCCCCGATAAAGCTAATGTTTTCTTAATTTATCGAAACTAAGCATTAATATTAATTTAAAAGATAGATAGATGTAAGTATTGAAGAAAGACTTCTACTAACCAATGGTTTTAAATAAAAAAGTAACTGCTATGTACATTAACTAAAAAGCCCATCTGTACGTTCGTTAGCGGAAAGAATTAACATAAGATTTACTTATCCAACGTAAGTATCTTTAAATATTTGTATTCTCGGTGATCTTAACATTATAAAATAATCGCGAGTTACTAAAGGAAAAGTATCTGAATTCAATTTCAATGTGTTTTTTTTTTTTTTTTCTTAAATTGTAACTGTCTCCCGGGGCATGCAATGATGGGCGCTGGAAACCAGCAAAACAAAAACCGATAATAACAATTTTTACTTATTCTTGTGAATTTACAATTAGATAACGAACACCGTGCGGGCGGAACAGGAGTTGCAACAAAATGCTACGGTATAAATATACAGTGTTGAAGAGATTAAAACGAAAACATTTTCCCCATAAATTTTCATATAGATTCCCTCATGACGTATAAGTGTTTTTAAGCTTTAAGGTTAAACGTTTGTTAAAATATTAAATTTGTAAATTTAAGGAAAAAACAAAATAAAATGAAATTGAAATATAGAAGTTCTGTATTCAACTCGGGGAATCATCTGTTTGTTGATTTACTCCTTCAAAGAGGAAGAAAACAAATATGAAACTTTGTATCCTAATTGTTCCGCTAGTTAAGTGTTGTTTAATAAGAGCGCCTTTCGACCATACGCTCTTTCAATAAGTGAACCAATTCTGGTTGAGTAAACAAGTACAGTTGCGATTTTGCAACTCTTCCTTCAAGAACCGTATTCGAAATTGGTATTATTAGTAATTGCTGACCGCCTAGAATGGAGTGGTGGAGTATCTTGAAGATGAAAACTTCCGCAGTGTAATTTTCCAAATCATTGGATAATTATGTCCTACGGTCCTTTTCTCGCTGCTAGATATATGTTTTTTGTCTGTCTGCGGCACGTTCGTGGCTTTTCGAAAACAAGAAATCAAACGCATATGAATTTCTTTTATGTTAATAAAATGCGGACTCAAATTTTACTCTTCGAACTAACAACTTCCCATATATGACATTCTCCTGGCAGTAATTTGTGGTTGGTCACCTTATACATCTACTAATTATAAGATATGTTCCTACATAATTATGAAAACATATTCGTATCTTTTCCTTACGTGGGCTTATATAACTTCAGTGTGCAATATTCAAAAATATTTACATATATGATTTTGAGTTTTAGGCGATAGGTTTTCGACGATTATAAGCAAATATAACAGAAAGCTCAGTAGAAAGAAAAAAAGTTAATAAAGTTTGTTTTTGGATCGGTAGATGATTATTTCAAAGCCGTTATGTCAAAAATGATCAAAAATGATTTTGTTTATAAACAATGTTTGATGTTTGCGTAATTTATCTAAAAATTTTTACAAGATTCAGCGAAATTTCATTCTCCTTGCTATTCTCCCGATGGCCACTGATAATGACTTTGTATAGGAAAAGTTCTCAGCCAATAGCAACGGGCAATAACAGAGAAACCAAGCTTCTCAAACATGCCGCGCGACGGCCGATTCTCTTCATTAACCAAAGCCATTATATCAGTGCCGCTTTCAGCTAAGGCAAGAGAAATCGCCCGGGTTACCACACTACCCAAACCTAAACGTTTATGGGAATCTTTAACTTGCAATGCACCCAAAAACCCACCTTGCAAGCTAAGAAGAAAAAGAAGAAACGTTAAATTTAATTTTATAAAGATTACGATTTGCACACACTCACCGCAAGCACCAAGCCACCAATTCGTCAGTATTTTCAACATATACACCCATGTTAACATTCCAGTCGATTAACCGATTTATCAAAAATAAAGACCCTTGATGGCGATTAGGCCAATGATTGTCGACAATTAGGGCATCGTCTTTAGCCGTTAAGGGCTTCACATAATAACCTTTAGGGCAACTATATGAAAATAATTAAGTGATTTTACTTTAAAAATGTTACCCAAATTTACTCACCCAATGACTAGATTTTTAGCTTTTTCACTCGTCATAAAGTACATAAGCGTTAGACTATCATATTCCAGTTTTAACTGCTTTTTATTCACCACTTCCAATACTGAATAGCGGTGACACTCCAATATGGAACTCACTTTCAAGCCGCCCGACCAATCCAACAATTGTAAAGCTTTTACTAGATTTTCATTATGCTCTTCTTGTCGGAGACTACCCACAAACAATTGATAGCGATCGACGATTATGTATAAACCTTCAGAGCGATAGCATTCGTTCAGTGTGTAGATCTTTAAATGTTTTATTGTCGGTTCTCGCTCTTTCCATCGTATGTAGTTATCCAAACAATAATAACCCACACAGTGTTGTGACCAACTTAAAGTATTGCGGCGATATGAATCTCTCAGTTCCTTTAATTTATTAATGTCAGTAATTTCCACCAGCTCAGTATTGTTTTTTGAGAGCATTTTTTTTCATAATTAATTTTTATTGAAATTGTTTTTATAAAAATATGGTTTGAAAAAAAGTTATTGAAAATTTTCATTAAAATTTACGCTTATTTTTGTGTCTTGGTATCTGAAGAACTAATTGGCAAACACATTCTCATACTATTTTCTTGGGAAATAAAACCTTAAACACGTAGATGTGTAAAGAGAAAAGCCACCGTTTAAGTGAACATAAAGCAAGAGAGCGAGCGAAAGAGAGGCATAAAAATATATAATAGTGAATATCTTAGATGCTTTAAAATGAAACGCCAAGCAATAGATGTGAATACGATTAGCCATTTACTAGTTTTTATGAAACAAGAGGAAAGCGTTTGAGTGAAGGGAACGATTGAAAAATATTGGATTGCTAGCATTGTCCATAAGCAACTACATATAATCACATCTTTTTGAATTTCGTGCTGAAAGAACAAGTCATCCTTTTGAGGCTATTCTTGTAAGCATCTTCTTTTTCTTTTAAAAATGGAAACTAAATAATAAGTCACCGATTAATAGGCGACATATTCCTATTTCTACCAAAAGGCATCATTTTGATCCCCTATATTTGTAGACTTCTCACGGCCGCAAAAGTGAAGGTGGAAAGCTGAATTGTGACACAAATATTCCTTGGTTGATTAAGAAGCCGATGCTATAAATGAGTAACTAACGAAATCTCGAAAAAAACAATTATTATTTCATTCCTTCTAAGACTTACAATTCTGTGTAGAAATTTCGAAAAACTTGGTATCTAAACGTTCATCAAATCCACCTTAACGCTTGTTCCGAAAATGGTCTCGATTGGTTTCCTAATACGCTTCAGTTACGATGTTATTTTAATTCCAATTTATTTCCAATTCATTTGCCATCTATTCTAACACACTCTAGCATTTTTTCCACCTAATTGCAAATAAATATAAATGCAAAAATCTTGACAGCATTAAGAAGAACATCACATGCGAGTTGTTCTTTTTCTTCTTTTAGTTTTGTGCACCTGATGTGCTCTGTGAAAACAGCCTTTAATCCGTCCGTCACTTATAAAAATCTTGGTTTTCCTGAGAAAATTTAGTGAAGTGGGCAAACGATTAACGTAAATTTGAAACAAAAGGAACAGAAATCAAGTCGCAAGTACTCTTTGCATGAAAAGGATTGAAACACTTAGCGTAATAGAAAGTCTGCAGTGCATTGCAAGGATTTGGGAATGAAAGTAAAATTAAAGAGAGATTACGTCGTTTTATCCTTGTGAGCTTCGTTAGAACATTAAAAACTTTAAAATTCGTAGTACCCTTCCAAGTGAATTTGAGTTGCAATAGTATAATTTTTTTCTCTGATATATTGCATAAAGAAGCCACCTCTCAGAGTCATCCGATTTTCTGGAAAATATGCCAAAAACTTAAGGTCAGTGTTAAGGCTTCTGGGTGCATCCGCAATATTCTTTCCGATTCTCTTCGAAGCTGCGCTATTGTTGTAAGATATCGCTACAAATGTCGCAATATCACTTCAAAAGAAGGAACTACGAAATCTCCGCTTGTCATCCAACGAAATGTTCTTTAAGATCTTATATGGATGCAGGATTGACGTGAATAGATTTTATTATATTTTCCTACATCTCCGACCATTTGAATATACGTATGTCGATTGTGTAGAACAAGATGTTTTATTTTAGTTTTTATCATTTTATTCTCACCAGATTAAGCTCAAAAAAAAGCCAAATCACTTATTAACTTTTGGATAATTAATGTAAACAGAGATAAGCGAAGAGAAAAATGAAATTCTACTCATTATTTGTGTAAGAGACTGCCGCTCGTTAACTTGACTTTTTATTCGACTCAGAGAACTTTTACATGGAAAATATTCAACAGTGTCGGGTGGCGTTTTAGACTTTGCAAGTCAAACAAACAATTGTGTTCGCCTAATCACTTCAAACATTCCATAATGAAAAATGAATTAATTGAAATCGCATCTTCGCAATGGGGAAAGCTACGTGATCTATATGCGAACAAAAGAATTTACTCTTGTTCTTACAATTTGCTACAAACCTTAATCGATTGCGTGAAACAAACTGAAAATTTTGAAGTTGCAATATATGCTCTAAACGATGAGTGGGAAACTGATGGAACATTCATCGCCAAGGTAAGAGAAAATCCATAAAATTTAATTTAATCTTTGTTTAATTTTTACATTCTTTCCTCCTTTTATAGTTTTCTAATGGATTTTATTGCAATACATTAAGTGATAACTTTCAACGTTTATTAGAGGCTTTAAATTGCTTGGATAATACACAAGAGTATTGGGTGTCGGGCTGTCAAGAGCGTTGCACTTTAACGGTAAAACAACATTTTTTATCATGCGGTCTATTGGAGGAAGAATTCAGACCGGAGGGTACCTTTTGGTATCACTTACCAATAAATGAAGCTTTGGCATTTAAAGTTGAGTAAGTGAAAGGGAAAACCCTTGAGTTCTCCTGTTTTTGTGCGGTTTGTTTTTATGCGATATACTTTTGTTCGATTTATTTTACATCGCATAAAAACCGAACACATAAAAA